TTTTTTTAGGGTGTCATTATTTTTAATTTCTTCCAGTGAGCAGAGTGACAATTCTGGGCATTTTATTACTCCCTTAGAGGAGTTAAGGAATTGGTGGGGGTAAGCCTTTACATTCATGTAATTTGATTGATTTTTAGTATGTTTTCTGTGTATTTTTTTGGTTTTTACTTGAATTAGAAGTGTGTTATTTTTCTTTATTTTTTTTTTACTGATTTTGGTTCTATCATGGCTGATATAACCTTTCGTAACACAAAAGGTGATACTTTTCTTATTTCACCCACTAATGGTTCTACAATGATGAAAATTAAAAAATTGTTTTTTTTTCTGATATTTCATTGTCACTTTCCATTTCAGAGTTTTTGTGCTGTCTCTTGGATTGTTTTTTTAGAGTCATATAATTTTGTTTTCGTATTCACCATCTGTGCTACCCATCTACCTCAGAGATCCTTTTTAAAAGATTTTATCAGAAAGGACTAATCTCATTCGCCCTTATCTGCCAGGACTACACTGACAGTATAGTTGGGCTGAAAGTGGCCGCAAACACCTGCATTCCGTCCACCATATCTACCCAAGTATAGTATGGTGTAAGGATTCACAAAGTTGTAGTCATTCTTTCATCCCAACCAGTCCTTGCCACTATGTGACTAACTGATTGCATTGGCTACTTTATCTACTCGTCTATTCCAGGTTGGGACCAAAGATGTGTGTTGTGAAAACTCCTGGTCATTTTATACCAGGTCAGGAGTCACTCAGTCACCAGGATTCCATCCCTGGGCATCACAAGTCACCACCTATAACATTTCCTCATATAAACAATGAGTTTCTAATCCATCTTGCTTCCTATACTATGCCTGGTTGTAGTTTAATGTCCTACCCAGGATATAAGTGAACTTGCTTTGGGAAAAACCCATGAATGCAGTTTAACATCATGCCCAGGACACCTCTATGAATGAAGAAAATCAATTGGCATATATAATCTGTAAATTGCTATGACTTCTTGGGAAAGAGATTGGAAAAGCTTTCTGCTACCTTCTTTATAGTTTGGAATTCAGAGTTTCCTTTGTCTTAGAATGGTTGCCACACAAAGCTAGAAAGCCCAGCTGATCCTATTATTTAACCCATAGCTGGAGGGTGAAGAGATGGAGTCATGCTTTCCCAGAGCTCCAAGTGTAATAGCATGAAAGTGAACACTACAGATTAGGATAGAAGTTGAAACGAAAAAATATTTCAGTTTTTTTTCAATGAAGAAATGTCTAAAGACAATGAAACTTGTAGCAAAGGTTTTATATCAACAAATATTTCAATGGGATAAAGTAATAAGCTAAATATAAGAAAACAGATGGAAATGTAAACACACAAATATACCAATGAAAAGAAAGGAAATTAATTTCATTACAAAACAAGAAAAGCAGAGTAGTAATTAACTAAAACGTAAACCTCTATAACAACCAATGCTTTCCTAACAAAGTTCAAGTCTATAAATAATCCTAAAAGCAAGAACCAAAAAACTTCTGATTCACTATTTGATAAAACCAGTAAAGTCATTTTCTATAGCCATTAGAAATTAGCAACAGTAATGATAAACTTCAAAGAGCACAAAGTTGCCTCTCAGTGGAAACAAACTAATCACCGAAAAACAAAAACAAGAGAAAAACCGAGCTAAATGCATAAAAGGAATGAATATCTTTATTTACTAATCAAAATTTACACCCAGTATCATACAGGGCATCTTTGACTTATGACCTATACAACTTACAACTGTTCAAAATTACAACCATGGCTGAGAATTAGTGGAAATGAATACTGCATATGGCAGCATGAATGTTTCCCAGCTTGGTGTAGGGCAGTTTCCACCCTAGCTCTCAGCAGTGCTAGTATTCTCTCACGTACATCTACTCCTCAGACTGCCAAGAAGGAAAGAAAGGCTAGTGATCTCAACTCAAAAATGATGGTGATTAAACAATACAAAAAAGGAAGGAAAGTGATTGTGATGGCATGTGGTCTGTGGTTAGCACTCTCTATGGTTGACAATTTTGAAGAATAGGGAAAGAATTTATAAATTTGTGAAAGGTTCTACACTTGTGTGATTGGCCAGGCTCATCTACAAAATGGAGAAATTGCTGCATATGTGGATGTACTTAAACAAAACAAAGTGTAGAGAGATGATATTAATGGTGTCTAAAATGAAGAAACCGTAAGAATTATTAGAAAAAAATGCCATAACACCTAAAGGAAGATAAAAAGGTTTCAAAATTAATTACAGGGTAAATAACAGCCAGATCGATTTAGAATCTGTCAGTTGTAAACAATTGTGTTTCTAAGTTGTTGATGACCTGTATTTTCAAACTGGAAAATAAAAATAGAGGAGAATTGTTGGCAAAATCTCTATGCTATAGGAAAATTCTGGTGAAAACAATGAGTGTCATCCATTAAAAAATGAAAAAGGATAACATTTCTAATTTTAACACAAGAATTATTTCTTGCTTAATAAAATCTCCCTGGATAGTTAAACACTTATTGCTTTATTGGCACTATTTACAGGTAAACTATTGTCCTTATCTCTGTTGTTGTTATCAAAACATTTCAGATGTTGTGTCTTTCATTAGAATATCTCATCTGCATAGTCTGCATGCAAATAATGTAAATAATGATAACTTTTCATTCCAGAAATTCAGACAGAAAAAAAAAAAAATCTCATTGCCTTCCTGCTGTAAGACTCAGCTGTCCCTGAACTGGATGAAAACTGGCAGTCATGTTTATTCACTGAATTGATTTTTTTATGGCTTATCAACCCTTTGCAGGTTATTTAAATCCAGAAAATATTGCAAGAATAATTTTTTTTTTTTGAGGTGATAATGATTTAGTGAGAGGTCCTACTAATTAACTCATAGCTGGGGAGAGAAGTGGTGGATTTATACCTAATCTGAATTTGATAAACAAAGAAATTATGTATATATAAAGTGGGGGATCAATTCTATGTGACAATCAATATATAGACTGATCCCTCACGTTGGGGTCACTGCCGTTTCTATACATTTATATTCCTGAAAAAGTAAATAAATCTGAAAGACAGCTGTGTAACTAATCAATATTTGATTGATTGATTGATTTGTTTTCTATGGCAGGTTATTTAAAGCCAGAAAATATTCTTAGGTTGTAAGACTTCTTTTTTTTAAAGATATAATAATGGTTTTAGCATAACCCCTCTTGCCACCATCTACACCTGATGATGTAACCATGTTTAGCAGTCCAATCTTAGGTCGACATTTTAACCACAGGTTTAACACTGCACTGGACAATGCTAATGCTGGTCCAAGCTGGTTATTGGTCACTTCAATTCACACCAACTCTGGTCATATTGTGTTCTTGATCTCAGAGCAGTGGAAGATTGAATACTGTAAAAATCGCAGTGCTGGTTCAAGCCGTAGTGGATGCTATATAAAGGAAGAAAAATATCTTTACAACAAAAAAATAAAATGAAAGATTCTTGGGGTTAATCTTTAATTGGTTTATATAGCTCTTGGTACAACAAAAATTAACCTTTCCTACATCAATCTCTATAGTGACACTGTGCCTCACGTAGTAATTTGGGTTTAAAGTTCTTCGGAATCAAGAAATCCGGTGGTAGCTGACATGGATTCTAGAGACACTAGATGTGGTTTCTCAGGCCCAAATCTCTGAGCTCCCAAAGTCATCTGCTTATATGCACTTCGGCCTAAAACTGGCATGGGGCTAAAGGGTTTTGGGATTCAGTGATTCCTAAATTTTAGATTAATCCCAATAAAGGGTTTTTTTTTTTGTTCTTTATTTCTGCTTCCTTAATCAATTTTCCAAATTTGGAGAATTATCCACCTTCCTTGAGAGTAGTCACAGGAATTGCTCCTCCCTTATGTCCAACCTACTTCATTTCACATCTCGCACCACCACTCCACACAAGCAGCTCTAAATTCTGTTTCTTTCACCTTCCTTCTTGGCATTCCACCTCTGCCCACATCTCGGGGCTAGCATAACTGTCTTTGTGACAAATCTAATCTTTAAATGCGTAGACGAAAGGGCATAATTTTTTCTCATCATTCAATTATCTGACTCCTTTCTATTTTCCTAGAATTATCTTTGTCCAGCAAGAAAACAAACCAGACCACTGCATTCTCATTTAACATTCTGAGTGAGAGATAAAATTATTTCCCAATTTGTTTTCGTCAACGAAAATGTATTTGTTTACCTAAATTATCAAACAAGAGACAAAACTGTTTTCCATTCATGGGCTAATCGCTGTCTTAGAGAAAATTTAGACCACCTGCTTGTCATGACAGGATCGATTTCCATAACCTTGACCCTCACAGCAAGTTCATTCTCAGTTTTCATTTCTCAATGTGTTTTTATCAACGAAAATATAATTCCCATCTGTCTATCTTGTTAATGATACGTATTTTTCTAATTTCTCAAGAAAGAGATAAAGCCATTTCCCAATTTATTTTAGCCACATGCCAGACCCTTGATAGATGAGGAAAAGTAATCCTTGATACATTGTTTCAATTCATAGGAGTGAGGCAATTCAGATGGCTCTTTTTCACTTCCACATTAACAGGAAAAATATCTTTTAGTCTCTATCTTCCAGCTTATATTTCATTTTGGGCTTAACACTTTTCTGCTCAGAATTAACATTTAATCACCTCATGGCTTCAGTGACACATTAGTGATACAAGTCTTACTAATTAATCCATAGCTGGAGAGGAAAAGTGGTGGATTCCTACCTTTCCCAAGAGTATTTGCATGTAAGTGAATATACGAAACCAACTGGAATTGAAACTCAGCTCTCTGATTAACAATTCCAAGCCATTATCCATTACACCACTCACACATCTAAACTTACAGCACCTGCTATTCCCAAATGGTCACCCATCTAGGTACTGATCAGGCTCGACATTGCTTAACTTTGGTGACTGTAAAAACATTCACTGAATTAGTCATCATGAAAAACAGTTATATTTCATGCTTACCTCTTGTTGTTAAGATGAGATTACCTTCTTCTCGGCCAAATCTACCAAACTTGAGAGCATTAATGACATCTGGTGTTTGGATGATATCCACCAGATGTTTATCTTGATACATGTGTACTGTTGAATCACTGAGAGCCACAAGTATGGCTGATATCCCTTTAGCTGTGTAGTCAAGCAGCTCCATGCTCATGATGCTGGCTGGTAATTTAATACTCCATAATCGTTTTCCCTAAAAATGAACAAATCAACAAACCATATGAAAATTATCAATGTGTACTTATATATATTTCCTGTCCCATATGTAATGGAAAGGGAGGTAAATCAAATTAACTAAGTAAATTTATGAGTGATTACCTCCCTTAGTTGTTTTGATAATTTATACAAATAAAATATTTATCTGAATTTAGACAAAATTAGTTCCTGAGCAAAATGAGCCACTTAATCAGTTCTTTAATGCCTATATTCTGAGATTGCAGATTTATTTGTTCAGGCCTTTCATGTGAGGCTCTCAGATACCTTTGTCTATTAAGTGATCATCTTGTTTTAGCTTGGTCTTGAAATAAGCTTTGATGTCACCATCCTTGTTGATCTCCTGCTAATTTTTTTCTTCCAAGAGATGTTTCCATTTCACCACTATATTAAACACATAAAATTTTTAACATGAAAAGAAAATGAGCAAAAAGCGATTTATATAATGCCAGGAATAATCATTGAATCCTAGAAACCGTTGAATATCTAAAATATATAAAGAGAATAGATTTATTAAATGGCTCATCAGCTTCTATTTTAGTTATGAATTCTTTATCTCAATACATTGTTTCAAGACTTCTTTCATTGCATCTCACTATTAAAACAATTGCCTTCATTTTTATGGCACCGGGTACACTAGTTTTTAAGAAAAAGACAACTTTAATTTTTACTCAGATTTTCCCAGGATCAAATTAAATTTAACTCTGTAATGAAAACAATCCTACCTAATCAGATGTCTGCTCAAGATCCTTTTGAATTTGAACAAGCATCTAATTAATGAGGTTTACTCAAGCTAGTTCATTAATAATCCTCAGATTTCAATGCATTAAAAGGAACAAGATGCAAACTATGAATTGGAGGCACCAAAATCAAGCAAGTACAAAAATTGAAATGTCTAGGAAGTGTTTTAACAGAGGACAGAAAACATGACACCAAAAATCAAAGGTGCATTGGGATAGCAAAAGATGCCTTCCAAAATCTAAGCAAAGTATAAAAAAAAGGAAAATTTTG